TTTAATTTTTAGAGAATGCTACAGAGAAAGAAACACGTGACCTGAGGAATGAGCTGGAGATAATGGCTACAGTTGGTGAACATCCCAATGTTATAAATCTTATAGCAGCTTGTACAGAGACAGGTATTTCTCAATTTAATCTTAAACCTGGACATCGTTGTAAATTCATCAAGTTTTATGAGCATATAGCCACGCTTAATTTCGTCATGGCCAAACATGAACTTAAAACTTGCTTATGGTGATCTGTTCCTAAATTAAGCTACAAGCAAACGGACGTAACAATAGACCTTTTTACCGATATGGCGGCCATATTGAGCACATTTCGTTTGTGTTTTCGAGCGCTTTTCGGGGCATTTTTTCTTAAAGTTTTCTTAGAATAAGATTGTAATGGGAAAAAAGATCCTTGTGCCGTGTTTGGATGTAATAATGATCGCCTTTTTCTGTTTTAGTATTAGAAATATGGTCTTTCACTGTATATTTCTCGGGGAAAAGGCGATCATTATTACATCCAAACACAGCACAAGGATCTTTTTCGCCATTACAATCTTATTCTAAGAAAACTTTAAGAAAAAATGTCCCGAAAAGCGCTCGAAAATACAAACGAAATGTGCTCATCCCCCCTGGGCATCCTATAATATAGTCCTCAAATCGAATTAGTTCAATATGGCCGCCGTATCGGTAAAAAGGTCTATTCCCAACATTGTCGCCCAACAATGTTGAGAGTTGTTGCGTCCATTTGCACGTAGTTAATAAAAGTTTGACCGGCTTCAAACTCCACAACGACTCCAAACAACACCCAACAACATGCACCAACATTCAATGGGATTTGTTAGCCAAAAAAGTTGAATGTTGTGTCCTTCTGCTCGGAGCTTTACGTACAATTACTGTAATGAAAAAAAATCTGTGAGAATGGGGCTATATCGACACGAAATATGATGTGACTGAAAATATTATATCTTTAACTCTACTATCTTATTTTTTATATATTATCCATTTCTGTATGCGTAGTTTATTTGCACATTCTTAATGAGCCTTCTTTAGGCTTCCCTGTGACACGATAAGTACCCACCTACCCCTCCCTTAAGTCTAACACTATGCTCTAAGGGAAAAGTTTTTAGGTTTGAACGTTGGATTAGGGGAGGGGTAGGTGGGGAGTTTAACAGAATCATATACTGATGATCCAAGTTGGATTGTGATGGTATACCGTGTTTAAAAATTAAGCTATGACTTTCTTTCAAACAGAACCGACATTGGTTGTCGTACGCCTGGCGGAAAATGGCTGCCTGTTAAATTATCTACAGAGGAGCAGAGAAAATCTTTACGTGAATGTAAACAAACCGAAAATAAGCTTCACATCAAGTGAAAGAACAAGGATCGCAAGAGATATTGCAAATGGAATGCTGCATCTGTCAAACAAAAAGGTAAGAGGCTCTACGAACAAGAAATAATAAAGGCCACAGTTAGGGAAGATTTTGTTTTGGTGGCATTGATTATAAGGACTCCTCGACCTTAAGTGCTGTGTAGATTGGATTTCAATATCGGTCAGGTGCTTAAAATGTATTTATCTTTTTATTCCTACTGAGTTTAGCTGCAGCCATTACTTGAAATCATGCTCTGCTCTGATTGGCTAAGAGTCTTTGGGGCGAAAGATTATCTATAGACCGTTTTCACATGATGTCACCTGGGCTATGTCCTAAAACAATAACGGTGGTCATTTTGGTGTTTCAAACCACTCCTGTGGAAATCGAACCTTTTTTTTTTGTATTTTTTTTAATTTCAATAAATCTGCATAATCTACAATACTGACCCGGACTTTCGAAGCCGTTCTGAGCTAAGATCTCTCGTAAGCATAGTGTCTTAACAATATCCCACCGTCATGCTGCAATACTATATGCAGTCAAAAACTCCCTACATGCCGACACCCGATAATACGGACAGCAGCTAAATCCCAGGCAAAAATATATTACAGACGTTTGACTGAAATAAACTCCCACTATTACGGACTCTCGCTGACGAGGACACTAACTCGAGGTCAGTCCCTACAGTGTCCGCCATAGGGATACATCTTAGATCAAGATTAGTCTCGTAAATTAGCGTCAGTTATTTAGTACATGAGAAATAGATGCACTGACTTCAAGCGGCTTCTGAAATGGCTTATGTTTTGTCTTTGCAGTGCGTTCATCGTGACCTTGCAGCTCGAAATGTCCTTTTCGACGAAAATTTCGTGGCCATGATATCTGACTTTGGTTTGTCACGTGATGTATACGAAAGTGGTGAATACGAAACGTTGTCTGGGGTACGTAATTAAAACATATTTGCGCACTAGGTTACAAAGATGTATCACTATTGGTTATGACAATAACTGATTCATTTCGATTCCCGCGCCCTGTTTCTGTGAGTATAGAGCATGGACACGCGTACGATGAAATGTTGTCGCAATTGTCGGTAATATGGCGCGCCATTTTCCTAGGAAACTCACTGGAAATGGAAGCATAACATTTTCATTGCAGCAAATGGTTTCTCTGCAAAGATTTGACTGATATTTATTGGGAGTCATTTGTATGGTCTATATCAGTACAGAAAAAAGCAAATTGTTGTCTTTCTAGGTACTTTCTCTCTGTTAATTTATCCACAGAATCTCTAGTCACTGTCAACTCAATGCCATCCTAGAGGTGTCTATTTCAAAACAAACTGTCTTTTTTCTGCCACTTCTTCACCCACTACGTGGGTGTTAACCGTCAAGACATTTTGTCAGGTGCTAAATTGTCGAAAGTGCTTTCATGCAACACAATCGAGCACTGTTGGCTTCAATTATTGTCTACCCTACCTCTCACGGGGCTCATCGGACTCCCTATTTATAGCGGCTAATTATTTGATCAAACAAGGCCACACATTTACCTTGTCTCCTTTTTCTTGTTATTATTTCAGGGCATGTTGCCAGTACGTTGGATGGCTCTTGAATCCTTAGAACATTACACCTACAACACAAAGACTGACGTGTAAGTTCAAGAAACTTAAACTTTCAACATGGAAAAACCCTCACTTTAAATTAGTTAACGTAACTTCAATGAAAATGAGTGACAAAAAGGCTTTCTATTTTAGGTGGTCATTTGGCATAGTATTATGGGAAATTGAATCTCGAGGTAAGTTTTTTTAATCACAGGATTTTCTCGGGACACGAATATGCCCAACCATATTTGAGAAAAATGGGGAATCACTCGTCTAATATAGTTTCTTTTCGTACTTTATAATTTAGGTTTAATGCCGTATTCAGGATTGGGAGGAATGGAAGTTGTAGACTTTCTCAAGTCAGGACAGAGACTGAAACAACCTGATGGCTGCCCGGATAAGATGTATTTTTTTAGCAATTCATTTCGTTTCATGACAAAAGATTTGAGTCACTTTATGACTCGAAAGAGTCACTAAGCACATGTTTTTTGATTCAACAGCTTTGAGATAATGACCTCGTGTTGGCATCCAGAGCCCTCAACACGCCCTTCATTTAGCGAAATAGTGTCTTCGCTTGAAGAGGAATTGACGGTATGTTGAATTTTTTTGCGTTAGGTGTGGGGATGGGTAGTTTCCTTAGCTAGATTCGCAGTTTTTATTTGAGGATTCCAGGGATGAGGATCTAGATAAAAAAGTTTGAATTGTGACAAATTTTAGAGTATGATAAATGGCAGGGAACATAGCGAAGCAACTTTAAAAGCTTTCCAAAACTAAAGCAGCTTGTTATAGTATGTTGTTGAGTTAGAATTCTTGTTTAATAAAAAAAATAATGGTGAAACAAATGATAGTTTTACAGTTTGTATATTACGCTATAATTGAAAGTAACACGCCACGGCAAACGGCAAACGTGAATTTGTACCTCGTGAACAAGGTTCCTTTTTCTCGTTGTTAGCTGTTCATTATATCTACACAAGTATTAGTTCCACACCCGAATTATCCGTAAGAATTGTTTTGGACTGTTTTTATTTAGTACTTATTTTCAAATTGAAATGATTTCTGAACTTGAATCTGACGTTTGCCGTTGTAACATTGATTTTTGGCAGGGTCTTCAGGATCAGCACACTGAAAATGAGCTTCCATGAATCAGACTGTAATTAGAACGTGACGACCTAATCCACTGACAAGAATAGCTGCAGTTCCTTCTATGTACCACCAATCTATAAATGGACGGTTGTTGTGCGCGACAAAACGTTCCCCCGCTCCTTTTTAAGAACCGTGGTAGCGCACGGTGCAGGCCGATGAATGAATCATACACGTACCACAGTGATGTAGACGATTGCTACAACCAGTTGCAAAAATGTTGAGACACTCCCACGGAAAAAGGACCTTTCTTGTAGTGACCCGCGCGAAAGCCTACGGCCGAAGATGTGTCGGCCTTCGACCAACACCGTAAATTCCCGCCGCGCGCGAGAAAAACCTCTGGTACCCAGGGTAATGACGTCCATCTTAGTGACTCGAAGAGATGTATCACGGGCGACTGTCGCCTTTGATTTTTAACTGATGAAAAACAAAGTTACGATTGATTACCGTCACTTCTTGCCTCTGGCAAACTCTTTTCATACCACCTAATGATTTATACTAAATGCATTTTGAGAGCTAATACTTCAAATAAAACAAATTAATAGTCGAAATGAACACTTCTTTTTGAGTGCCCAGAATTAAGCAAATTACATATAGCTATGAATGTCGAACTTTCTGCTGTCACTGAGTTTCCCCTAGACTCCTTAGATTTAAAACTCGTCTGGGGATCGGCAGGGATCCTTTGTAGAAAAATTTTAGAAACCTTTGTCTTTTTTCAAGGAAAAGCGACGACTTGTATAGTATATGTTTAAAGAAGCGTGATGTTCCACGTCTTACATCATTTTATTGAAAAAAATCTCTCTGTAATATTATGAATATGTTTGGAAAAAGAACAGTGTAAAGGATTTCACGCGGGAAAGAAAAGAAAGAAAAATTCAGGGGGGTACTGTTGTCGAGTTGGTTATTTGATAGCCGTTTGTTATTACAACGTATTAACTTGCAGCCTTGCTTTTAATCAAAACTGTCATCAGTAGCCACCCTGTTCCCCTAATGGACGTCGTGTCCGTTTACAGTAGCGAGGAAACCAGTCTTACCTTGCTTTGCTGATGAATGGAGTAGACTGAGTAAAGGCTCTTTACCTAGCTTACTAGGAAATTTGGTGCTCTTTCAACTGATTTATCTCTTCTTGGTGTTATAAAAAAGGCCAATCGTTGGCGCAAAAAATTGAAATGGAAGAAGCGGATAAGGTAAGTGGGAGATCTGTTTGTGTTTATCAAAATGCCACTACCTCGTGGTTCTATAACATCCCATTTTCAGGCGAATGAATTTAAGCAATTGTGCTTTACATTCATTGTGCATTCGTGAGAAATCGCTACCAAACAGACTTTGCTTATTTGAAAGGCTGCACTCGGTGCTTTACTAAAGACCACAGAAATGTTCTTAAAGCTTGACTTCCGCAAAAAAGAAAAAAAAATCATTTTCCCCACGTAAAATTCCGGACTCCGAAACAAAACGACTACTAAACAACTGGGCAGCCCGGGTAAATCTGCAATTTGAAAGACTGACACCATGGTAGCAATTTTTTTCCGCGAGATGTATGAACTTGGGGCTGCATTCAATGTCTTGTGGCAGTCGGAAGACAATTTGAAGTGAGTTATATTGCCACGTTTCGGTACCTTTGTTGCCCTAGACAAGCTTAGCTTTAGACAGCAGAGAGACTGAACCCCTTCGATTCGTTCCACCTACGGCCTCCATCCTGTAGCCTACCAGAATGTCAAAAATATCGATAATCAAATAAAATTTGTGTTGAAAGCTGAAACAACACAATACCACTTGGCGAAGTTCACTTCTGTATAATGTTCTCAATACTGACTCAAAACCAAGTAGGTCAAGTAGTTGTTAGATATGAAAGCTACAATAGCCACAAAAGCATTTAAATTTTGCAATAGAGCGACTTTTCTCTGAAATCGTCGTTGCGTTCTTAAGGGTCTAAAGGACTTTCCAAACTTGTTATCAAGGTCTTTCTCTGTTTAATGCATTATTAAACGTTTTTTTCTACTTGAAATTCCATACAATCCGGAAAAGCTGGAGATTGTGTTCGTGAAAGAATGTTCGTTATATCCGATGACGAAAATTATACTCCAATAATGACAAATTATCAGTGCAGGAAATAACTTTTAAGAAAGGTTAATACCCCTGAATTTCGATTAATTTCAGCCCCGGTGGAGCTTACCTGTTAAAAATATGGCTTAGGGGTAAAAATATGGCTTGTGGTGGTCTACGTAAGAGAAATGGGGTCTTAGAGTAGCATAATGGATTTAGCGGATCCACATTTAACAATGTGTCTATACGCATTATCCGGAAACTCTGGAAATCTACAAACCTTATTTTCAAGAAGCACAATATAAAGGTTCGATATGGGTAATTCATTACGATATATTGCTTGAACGCGAGTTATATTTCCTTTAGAGTTCACGTATCCTGACTCTATGTAAATCCAGTCACCTAGCTACATCCTCTACGTTCTCTCACAAAAAAGAAGTCAGCAAAGGATTATCAGTTAGTAGGAAAGAGATTTTAAGTGCACGGATTTGTTCACCTGCAAATCTACCTGCCACAAAATCCCACAAGGTTTGCTTTCTTTGTTTGTTTACGTGGCGGTGGTTTATGAAACATTTATGGCAGACCGCGGTGCGGTTTTCACCAAGGCATCTCTAAAAAAAAACGCTTTATAGCTTTGTCAAATAATTAACTTACCATACGTATATAAAGCTTTATTATCAATTTCTAGGGCAAGGATATATTTTTTACAGGTCGCCTGACCTTGAGGAATATTTGCTTTGTCGCATGTGAGTTAATGTGTTTGTAATATTCTTTTAAACTTAAACATAATCGTTTCGAGAGACTGATAATCGAATTATCTCATTCCAAAGTCTGATTCAATACATTTCTAACTTTTATATCTGCGGACGAAATCTTGTGGAGTTACCCTTCTAATGAAACCAGTTTGGCAGTAATTTCACGTAGCAAACGCCTTTTGAGGGGTTGTTTAAAATATTGTTAAATTTTCCTCATTATTATTATTATTTTTGCTGTGGATACTATCTATTATTAGTCTGAATGATCACCATCATCTATATCAGAACTACTAGCCGGCTATCTCTGTCAGGAGGCTACGATTAATCAGAGACACCTATCATGCTTAAATTACAGGTTAAATATATACATTAAAAAAAACATTATTTGATAGTATTTCACCAAGAGTAGTATTCAACAGTAACCTTAAAGTAAACAAATATTATATTAACAAACGCAGCATAATGATATGAAAACATTACAAAGTTATCAACAACGCTGTTCAAATTACAATAATTTCGAGAGCATGATTTACAAGTAAAATGAAAGAACACGCGAAGGCAATATCATATACATTGAAATTAACGTATTTTAATAGTATTCCGTTTCTCCCCGACTTGTCTCCCTACGCAGCCGTCCCATACTCTTAAAAGTGAATTGTCCATTGAGTTTGTTAAAACCTTACTTACTTAAATTTTGTTCTTGAAAACAAATAATTGATTTATTGTGTTCCTAAAGCCAATCGCACTGAATATTTAGAAAATCCGTTTATTTCAAGCTTCATCGATGAAATACACGTAACTCCTGCCAACCATTAAATTTCCTGCATTTTGTCGCAGCTTTTTTATCTGTGTTTGTTACAAACTTTGTCTTGATTTTAATTGATACCAATCACACTGGCGATGTTTAATGTCGTAACAATGCCCTTGTGTCAATTTTACTCGGAGATTGTGCTGTTTATTGGAAAACAGAGAATGGAGCTTTATTACAAAGAACCCGTTCTTTAGATTTGCATAATTTTTTCACGCTAACAACTCCATCGTGTGAGAGAAGTATAGGATATTCAATTTATAACCATTGCAACGACAGGTTAGTAACTAATTTGGGGAGAAAGAGTCACAGTCTATTTACAGTACTAGCAAGCAAAGAGTGCTATTTCTCGATATTTCTTGGGATTCACAAATGGGCGGTAGAAAGTTAAATATTAAACAGATATAGAATAATATAATCGGTACTCTTCGGAAATTATACGCTACTTGTTTTAGCTAAAATATTAATATCTGACTCTACTTAAAGCTGAAATATCTACCTTATCAGAGTAATATCTGCTCTTTTGATCTGATAGATTTTGACGGACGACACGAACTATTTGTTAGTGTATATGATCGCCCGTGGACGACTGATTACGCTTGTACGCTTGCGTTCAATCCCATTTGTCCACGAATTCTTCGGGGACTGTCTTGGAAATATTATTGGGGGATTAAAGAGGCTTCTCCCATGGAGGGAGGAAGATACTAGAAGGCAGATCATCCTCGCGCCATATGTTTTCTGTATTTAGTTTAAATGCAAAACGTTGTACTTGTCCCTAGCGCTAGGATCTTCCTTGCAGTGAGGTAGGAATTAAAGATCCTAGCACCAGGAAGATCCTAGCACCAAGTAAACTGCTTTCACTAGTAGGAAGATCCTAGTGTTAGGTACAAACCACACAAAAATAGCTGCGGGCCGTTCAATGGGTTATCTTCAATCTTTAATTCCTCCTCTACTGTTAACCAAACAGACAGAAAATTCTGCACGTAAACCCAACGAAAAGTTGTTCCGTCTTATAGGATCTTCCTCCAGCTCTCTTTATGTAAAAAGCCCCTAAGTATACATCAAATAGGTGTATTCGGTGGTAGCTTTAACAAATTAACGAGATTCAAACGATTATAGCCACTATTAATTTGATATTTTTGGCCGATTCAAGTAAAACTACTCTGTCCTACCTTAAGCTTAGCTGTTTAGACAATCTTTTGCATACAGCAGACCTTGCTAGACAGTTTGTAGTCACGCTTCGGTAAGACAAAGTCGGATCAATGGAAGTTTCTGGGTAAATGATCGACCGCTTACCCCTTCCCTTAGTCAACATTGACACTTACTTCTCACTTGGGGCAAAATTGTGAATTAGGGGAGGGGTAGGTGGTAAGTTATCCAGAAACCTCAATTAATCCACAAAGTCCTTTGAGTCCTTTTTCTTGGCAATTCTGTGTTACTTAAATGAGGTGTGGTCTTATTGAAATGATTCTTAAATGATAATGATGACGATGACGATATTGATGATGATGATGATGATGATGATGACGACGACCAAAAAGAGGATGATGATGATGATTTGGTAACATTCCATTGATTTCTTTCAGCTTGTTTACTCCAATGCAACTGACACCATGTCTGAATCGCACTTGTTAGCACCTCCTCAGGAGCCGTCGCGCAACTATCGCTCCCACTCCCTGAAAACACAGAGTCAGCCCTTCCTGTTTCCACCCCGAACTAAGCGACGTACCCTGAGTCTTCCATCGACCAAACCAATCATCCCGCCCTTCATTGTCATAAGCGATTACCAAGGCAACAATGTAAGTGAACGCGAAGATGGAGAATTAAGATGTGAATATCACAAGGAATGCATGGGTAAGTTTTTTTTTGTGCGTGTATGTCCGCGTGATTTCGTTTTCTCGTTCAGAGACTGTAGACAGTCAGTTTCAGTTTAAGAATATGTGCTTTTAAGATTCCAAAAAACATGGCACGTCCAGGAATGTTTAAGAGATATGTAAGTACCATTATACTATTACTATACCGTCAAAATCCATTTCGTTTTTGTTTTCTCATTTCAATTGATAAATACCGTTTTTGTTTCAGAAAACAACAACGATATATGGTTTGCATTAAAAAAACACTGGTCGTTGTAGTAAACCGACACCATAATGCATACATGTTTGGTCAATTTCTAATATCAAAATTAAACGCGTTATTTTTCGTTATCCCTCTTCTTTTCAGCGTGGTACACGCCCGTACTTGGTTTTTCTTGTAGTGTTCTGATTTACTTCTGCTCATGCGCACTGGCCTACTATTCAAAAGCAAGTTAACCACTAGTATGTTTTCGTATTTCGTGACTTCATTTATTTATGGATTTCCTGAAACGTCCAGTTCCACGAATTTTTGCCGCTCTGTATCGCTGGGTCATCGCTGACGTTTAAAGGTGAAGCAGTCATCTTGTGTTCTCGTCCCAAACATTGCTGGCCACATAATTCCAGTCAGAGCTCTCACCATCTCGTGTCCAATCATGCTGGCGTAAACCTTTACTGGAAGGTGCAGGGCATTCTTACAGGAGGATGGCAATAGGTTTGGTCTGGGACTGAACTTGTCATAAGGATGCTTGTTATAACAAGAACAACACGTTTTATTGAAATTCAACATTATAACTGATGAAATCATTTTCCCACCCACAAAAAGCCTAGAGAGAGAGGGGAGAGGAAAGATCTATTTACAATACAAGGTTCTATTAGTTGGACTAAATAATAATAAAGACACTACAATACAATAAATAAAATAAACTAATATAAAACAAAGTATTACCAAAAAACGATTACGAAGAGAGACAAACGTTATTGGTACACGAAACATATCAAAGAAAACAATAAAACATTGGATGTATGAGAGAAATAGGACCACTTTACAGAGCAAATTCACACACACGTCCGTCCAACTTGGTCAGCTCAATTGACTTGAGTCTTTTTTTGCTCAGATTGCCACAAATTTGACTAGTTCCGCAATCAAATCGTCACCAGAGCCTTCATCACCCTTGTCCGCGAGACAGGCAAATCTTATAAAGGCGGGAATTACGCAGATCTCGGAGAGTGTTATCGGTCTCGGCAGATAACAGCCTCCTCGTTGCTAAATAATTTTTCATATCATACTCAGCCTCACCTAACAATGCTAATTATTTTGTTGTCAGCCATTTGCCATTCTGTTGTCTGTCACTAGAGAGTTTTAAAATTGTTGACCCCCTCATTTCATTTACAAGCGTTGGTTTAGTTTGTAAACTTATAAAGTGTGGCACTGACAGTTTTTCTTAATTTTACCAAAGTGTTCATTCAGTCTTAAGCATCCGGCAAAATCGATTGTAAATGCGAAGCGCAATGTTCTCAAAGCAGAGGCTTAAGAATGAATGCCATCTTACCGATTAATTTAAAACCTTCCTTAAATACAGATGTTTTTAGGAATCATTTTTAGCTTCACACGTTGCATAATCTTTGTCAAGTTTATTGAGACTAGGAAAAATATTTTTATCCTAAAAACGTCATTTTACATTCCAAAAGTCGTTGATTGTTTTCCTTTTTAACCTATCCTTTATTTTGTCAACGTGGTATTGAAACAAGTTCTGTTTACTTCATGACTAACCTCAGCGACCAGTTTGGTCCAAAACAGATGGACATCAGTTATGAATTCACTTCTTTGTAATCTATTTTTTAACTAATATCGCAAAAGGCATGACGCCCCGCGATTAAACTCATCTCCGCCGTATCAGGAAATTGCGAGCAACGAAACAAAAGAGAACTGTTAGATCGACGATTAGCTCGCTTTATACACCTTTCACACTCTTTCGCTTCTCCGCGGCGTGTTGGTTTACTAAAATCACTAAACGATCATCTCTGTTGTGGTCCTTTTTTTAATCCTGTACGATTTGTCCCTGTTTATTTTCGTTAAATGAGCTAATTAGTAAGTTTCAAGTCTGTTTGTCTCGAGTCTGAACCAGTCCAATATCACTCAAGCTTTGCATTCGGTAAGTACCTGTTTAAATATTGCTATCTATGGCTCATATCATAGTTTTATATTTATGGGTTTTTTAAAATTGTTTCTCCTTTTTAAAAAATACCCCTCTGTTGTGTTGCTCGCGCTGGGAAAAATCATAACGAAATTGAAAATGGTTAAGAGTATTCGCCTCAATTTTTACATTAATTTTCCGAAATAAACTACCTTTTATTACTCTAATACCTTAGTAAACTGACACAGTTGAAAATCGTCGAAAGGTACATAATATTTCAGCTTTCTGCTAAAAATGACTAATGATTGACACTTTTTCACGAAAAAATATTAAAGAATATACTTTGCAGACGATATTACATACAATTTAAGGTATTTTTAATGTTCATTTTGCACAAATAGTATAATTTGGCATTTTATATTTCGAATATTTTTTCTAATTAAATATGAGTTTAATTGTACCGAAATTCTTTGGGTTGATTTGTAAATAATCCAGTTCTTCTAGGTTGATTATCTTTATGTTTCGTCTAGCTTGGTCTTTGTGCAAAGATAAATTACAATCCTACAGCTTTTTCCCGCTTGAAAATTCATTAAGTAACAAATAGGCATGCATGATATGAATCTCAAAGTGACGTCAAAAGCCTTTTAAGAAGCCTTCATCCCCCGCAGCATGAAGATATTCAACTTTTAGGAAAAGAAAAATCAGTTGGTAATGGAAAGATATGTTTCAAACCGATAAAATACTAAAATATCGCATGTCGCGATACTGCCTGAAAGTTATCGCCAATGGAACTGGGAGCCCTTATGGCATTGTTCATGCGCAAGGGCCTGGAGCTAGTGGTAAAAAGCATTAAAATTGCATTGCTTATAAACCTGAAACCAGCCAGGGTTTATTTGATTTGAGACGACGTCATAAAAACTATGGCTTACGTTAGGAGCGTAAAAAGGTTGGGAGGGAGGGGATGGAAGGATGACGCAGTGACTGCCTATTATATTATCGTTCATAAAGCTAAAGACCACATGCAGAGCGAAAGAGATATTCCGTATTCGAGGGGCCCATAAGTTAAAGTTGTTTATTCAAAAGGAGCTACTACAAAACGTCTGCTTTAGTACAATCGGGTAAAAAAGAAGGAAATTTGAAAAGTAAATACTGAAAAAAAAAATCATTTTTCGTAGCATTATATTAATTGTTCGCTTTTCTTTATTTCAATTTTGTAATAGCTACAAGTCTCCGCCAGTCATGTTTACAATTTTACATCTATCGGCGTCAATCTTTAGGTCGTTTTAAAACATTTGAAAAGTTATTTATTTTGCAGTCTTTCAAAGTGTCAATTAGAGGCTTCCGTGTTTGAAATGTTAATATTTTCTGAAGGATAATTTCCTGCGATTTTCTTGAAACATTCATTACTGCCTCAGGTTTGCAAATAAAAACCGAAACCGAAACAAAAACAAGTGTATCTAAGATATTGTTTTCTGCGACACTGCTCTAAGAAAAAACCGTTTTTAGAACTTAGAAATTAAGGTGTTTCCTTTGCAAACGCTTTAAGGCACTCAGCAACAAAAATAGCCGACAGTTTTCGCGTACTTTAATTTAGCAGTTTCTCAGCTCCCTCCCGCCTTATTTGTTATTTTCGATTTGCCGCGAGTTGATTTATTTGCAGCTGCTGTAATAATCTTTGTAGTCTTTCTTTCAGTACACAGCTTAAATTAAACAAATTTTAATAGAAACTTCGAAAGGAACACAACAAGAGGATCCTCGCAGCTTACTAGCAGTTAAGGGAGTCCCGGAGCTTTTCATATCCTGAAAACTCGGTAGGTTGTGATGAATTAAGATTTTTGCCCTTAAGATTATCCTACACTAAAAGTAGAATATATAGGCAGCTAAACTGCAACAAAAACTGTATTAGGTAAACGTTGTTTAGAACAATGTTATGCTTTAATTTGCATGAGCAGTATCAACATTTTTTGCCAAATCAGAGACAATGTTCCTTAATTTTAGACACGATCAGGATACCAGCCAGTTCTGAATTTAAGGCTTGACTTAAATGAGAAAAAGAAAATATGTTTTTATAATATACTGAGCTCAGTTATTTCAACAACATCCCTTCTTTTCCCTCGAAAGTCACTCAATGTTGAATTAAATCGCGGTTGCATATCAGTGTGGGATTCTAATATTCACCATGTAGGTTCTTTATTTCTTTTTGTTCTATGTTTTCGTTTGTTCATAAACAAGAGGCCACCTTTACATATTTTGCATCGAACAGAATGCAACAAAAAAGAGTTCAAAATATCGTTTAACCTTTGATTAAAATAATTTGAATGTTTATTTTTGTTTTATTTTTCTCCTTGACGCGCTGTTGAGGCGTTTTGGAGCAAGTTAAGTCGCTGGACAGACTGGCAAACACACAAGCATCTAAAGTTTAAAAAAAAGCTGTCTAGTGCTTGGGCTTTTTTTCTCTACTACTGGCTTGCTTTGTATGTTTTTTGTTGTTGCTGTTGCTTTGTTTGGCTATTTTTTCCGTGTATGAATGAACAGGAAGTCAAACATTTAGTACAGATGAGGGTAAGACGGGAATTTTTTTTCTCTGTTTCATGTTACTTATTGCCTTTTTTTCAGGGTTATTCTTGGGGTTTACCCTCTGTTTCCCTTTTCCCAGCAAAACTACTCAATCTAAAACCATCCCTTAATTTTCTTTGCCTTTTTCGTTTTAGCTTTTTTTATTCATGACTACCATGTCTGACCGTGTCACTCTGTGTCTACCAACAAGCAACATACAAACACGCTCTGTTCGAAGCCAATCGTTTAACCCCCCTCCCACGCTTGGATGTCATCGCTCAAGAAGAACACTTAGTCTTCCGGCACGAGAGAAGCCGATCATTCCTCCGGCGATCACGGAAAGTTCCGAATGCGCTCCGTTGGTTCACGACCAGAATTCCGAGGAAATGCAGAGGCATTTACAAGGAGAAGGTTGCGATATTGGTAATGTCATGCTCGAGTCTATGTTCCCCCTTCTCGCTCCTTTTTTTACCAGATATACACCTCCCTTGTTTCCCTAGACTATCTATATCAGCTTTATAATGAGACTTTTTATCAGGGTCACCGAAGGAGAATATAGTTCAAAACCACTTAAACACTTAAACATAGCATTGTTAAACGTATTTTAGTATTTAAACGGTAGATATAGGCATATTTTTATCCCCTAAAAATTTTTCATCTCTTCTGATTTTCTAGCTGAAAAACTATAGGTATTAAAACTGACCTTTTCGAAAATTTCAGCCAGAAAAAAGGCTCCTGAAAATTCTAGGTGACCTTTTTAGGGAAAAAATCTGTTAAAAATGAGCAATTATACCATTTTTAGCTATTTTTAGAAGGTTCGAGAATCCTAGGAGAGGTAGGTAAGCAAGAAATTTAACAACAAATGTTCCGAAAATTCTAGATCTCAAATCGCCTTCCGAACAGATATTTTCCAAAAATTGTCGTTGGGTGACCCCTGATGTTCCCCCTCCTCGCTCCATTTTTTACCAGATATATACCTCCCTTCTTTCCCTGGACTATCTACTTTCCCTGATCTGTATCAGCTTTATAACGGGACTTTTTATTGTCAGTGTCGTAATTAAAATAACCGGCGCACAGGGCTTTAGGGGCTAGTCAGGAGTATATTACTGCTTTAGGTCAAATCTGTACTGAAATCACTACTTACTGAGTTTACCTAGACAGAAAAGCTCCTGTAACGTTACGAGGAGGATATCTAACAAATTGAAATTTCATTAGCTCTAACCATGATTTCCGTCCTTGCCATCCTTTACAAGAGACGACAGAAAAAAGTTTCAATCCCGCCCTAAATATAGTCGTTCATAACAAAATTGGACCATTATTTTTGGAATTCAATTGATGCGAAAAAAAAGTCTGCACTTTTCGAAAAGGTAGCAAATGGCTGGAAGTAGACTGTTTTGTAACATTTCATATTACATAAGCCCCTGCAGTATTGTTTGGCAATGCATTGTTTCTTCTAAGCCTAATCAGCGTGCATTGTATAATAGCATTGTTTGTATGCCCATGGGCGAAATGTTCTTAGCATATACTGTATATACATACTCGAGTAGGGAATAATAATGTATCCATTCGGAGTGTACACTTAGCTTCAAGTACACAAGACATGTAGTTTAGTCGGTAGAACGCTAGGCAGCAGAGATAGGTCGTGGATTATTTCCCCAGACCGGAAGCGCACTCAGAAGAAAAGAAGGTACTGTACTACTAATTCCATGCAAACGTCTGTCTTCGCTTGGCTCGCATGACTAAGTAGATATAGCGGTCCCGTCTGTAGTAAGAAACGAAAAAACCAATGTCCTTGATAAATATAGTCGTGTTAGACCCCGTTTACATGGAGTGGGGGACCCCGGTCTAGTGGGGTAAGTTTCTTTTGTTTTGTGTCCCCCAGAGCGTGAAAACAAAAGAAACCAACCCTACTAGACCGTAGGGTCGATTACCAGCCGCTGTTCGGGAAAATGAGCCAGCACTCATCCCCCGAAAGAGCTCTTCGGGGAGGATCAAAGACCGGACCCGGGAGACGGCGGAAATCGAGCCTAACTAGACCGGGGTCCCCCACTCCATGTAAGCAGGCCCTTAATTACAAGTAGGTTTTATTTCCACTTTTTCTTCCAGGTTGGTTCGCCCCTATACTCGGTTTGCTGTTGAGCCTATTGTTGTTTGCTTGGGCGTGTCTACTCTCACTCACGGAGGAAGAACAAAAAGCCTTATTCTCATAAAAATGCAAAAAAGTGCTTTGGTACTGAAGAGATTACACCTTTGAACAAAAAGAACCTCAGGACCAGGAGAGGAAATATTGCTACGGAAACACTTTTCTTTTCATTATTGGGCGTGCAAACAAGAGAACGTTGTTCCGTGGAACCAAAATTTACACAATGGAAGCGAGAATGTTTATTGACTTGATTCAGTATTATTTTTTTCCCGTCTTGGAAATGAATTTGCGTCCACGCATTTTGTTTAGCGCGCGGCTAAACTGGGAAACATTTTGCCGCAAAAAGGTTCATCAATTAATAGCCATGCATGCTGTTGAAATTCAGAAAATGACAATCATCCGAGAGGATGAGAAGAAATAGAGCTAATAACCTGTATAGGAACTAGTCTGATTAAATTTAATTAAGGTCCATAGAGGTATTAACCACAAAATCCCCGTCCCAAAAGCCTCAAACTTTAAGAGAAAGAGGGACTGGGGACGGCAAATGATTATTTGCCTATTTATCATGCGATCTGTTATTATAATTTTTTATCAACCTCTCATGTAAATTTAAATTCAAATCTTAGGAGCCGTTGCAGTATTTTCTTTCAGTGCAGCTCTGGCCCTGACGAAGGCTACTTTTGTTAGCCGAAACATTGGCCCAACATAAATCAGCCCTTTCCCGTATTGCCAGCCTTGCATTCAGTTTTGTTTAAAAGTCCTCATTCCCCTTTCGTCGCCTTTCCCGAAAACTTCTAGACAGCTTTCGGTCGGGTAGCTCTTTCACTTTGTCAGACTGCAAAACAGCGTTTTTTTCTGAAAGCGTAGCCTAAGAATCTCCCCAGTATCGCTCTCCGTTTTCAGCCTCGCTGAAGACCTTTTGTTCAGCTGCTCGCGCTCACTTGAATACGCAAAAATACGGACTGTTCTGCAGTATATCACTTTGTCAATGCCATTTGCCATAGTTAAAACAATCACTGGTTACCAGGCCAGTTTGTTCCGTTTCTGCATTATGTGAAAGGCCCAGGCCTAAGATGAATTCTCGACGGGACTGCAGGGGCCACCTCGGATTATAATAGACCATTATTTTTTACAGTTCAGTATTATATTCACTAAATTTAATTTAGTGAATATAGTATGTGACTTAGTATGTGATTAGACAAGATTATGAAATGAACCGATTTACATCGACAAAAGCACATTAATATTAGTTATTCTATTATATTATATTCTATCCTATTCTATTCTATTGTATCCTATTATATTCCATTTTATAAAAAAAATAGAATAGGACGCGCGTTTTAATTGGCCTAAAAACCTATGGTTTATTGTGCCGGTAAACTCATAGAAAACTTAATAATTTATAGTTTTTTTTTATAAAAGCAATAGACCACACTTTCTACCTGGGTTTACCGGCGTGTAATACTAATTTGCGTAAAAACAACTTTATTTACATAAGAAAGCATGAGGGGTAAAAAGGGCACGCATAAACGACACGCATAGGAAGCGACGCGGTGGCTCAGCTGTTGGCGGTGCACCCGGCTGGAAAAATGGCGGAAGATTTCGCAATAGTAAGAAGCAAGCAAGAATGCATACGTCTGGACGGATGACAGTCGTGAGTTCTATATGAAGAAAATCTGGTAGAACAAACATCCCTTCATATCCTGGAGCTGCCGAGAAACAAGCAAATGTTTTGAAAACGGTAGGAACGTTAAAAATAGTTTAGCGTGTTCTGAGCTTTACTCGGCTCTCACAAGAGCCCATAACCTGCAGTGAGCAACTCCTTTGTGCCTTGCAACGGCGTTTACAGCGGACCAGTTTATTTTTAGATCGATTTTCCCGCGAAATTTGAATATCAAATAAGTTTTACAAATTAGCCATCAAAAACCGGAGACTAGAAGAAAGTCTTTCTGATGTTTTGATAGCATTCACTTCTTCTTTTTGTAAAAATGATGCAAAAAATAACTTGATCTGTGAAAACGCCGTTGCTTAGGCTAAGTATGGGAGTTACACTCCTCCTCCTGGCTTTCAGAAGGAATGAAAAAGGCCTCGACGGATGACAACTCCACGATTTGCATAATTCTTTAATATATTATACTCAACCTCATCCAATTGTTAATTGTAAAACAGACGTGTCTTATGAATTAGCATATCGTAAGCAATTTACTCATCTTTCTATTAAATTTCCATTTATTTTAATATTGTAATGTCTCCTTCCGGAACTGCTTTAATTTATATTTTTGAACGTAGACAAAAAACCCTGTTAAGTTGTAGAAAGGTTTTAATATTATCTCCTTGTTTATTCTATGTTTTACGCACTAATGCTTCCTAGAGCCAATCAACACCTTCTATTTGAATAGGACTACGCGATTCGAGCTCAATTGCTTTTCCGTCATCATTCTAAGTAGATATGAACACGAAATGTGTCGTGTCATTTGCTAAAAGTTTTTTTTTTTTGGATTACCACATATATCATACGAAGAACGGAGATATTATGACAAATTTTATTTGTTTAGCATGGCTAATCTTTGAAGAAAATGAAAATCGTATTCAGAAATCTCCTTCGACAATGATTATCACTTTTTTTTTTCTTTAAAGTCAACTCAACAGAAATTTAAAGAATTGCTTTCGGAGCATTGCCAGCTTCATTGCCGGAAGAAAAACGCTGCCGAATTGTCTTGATGATGATTAAATCAAACTATAATTATCCAATGTATTAAACCTTGAACGATCGGAGACAATTTTACACCCGGGCGCACTTTGAGTTATGTCGGTTGAAAAACGTCTCTATGATTTGTAGCCGAGTGTTGGTTTATTCAAATAAGAAATCTGAGGCTATCGCCAACAAATCTTAAGACATTTTTTCCATGTTTTTCGCAATAAAATACAGGATACTGTAAATAAAAAGTCTTTTCTTTGGCCTATTGGTTCTGAGTTGCCGGCAAATAGTTACAGAAAATTAAATCAAAATTTTATTTTTGGCATTTTTTTTGTCGCATTTGTCGATTAGTTCGATAATTTTTTGAATGCCTGGCAACTGTTCCTTAGACGGGCTGGGGCGGGGGAGACTCGATCCTGTTTACAGGAAATAAAATTGAAAATTGAAATCTTTTTTGAGCCTGGAACTAAAATATGACGTCGGATGCTACTTAAAAAGGACCGTGAAAACTGTTAAGAAGATTTGTTCGTTCCGCGCTCTTGAGATTATCCGGCTCTACTCAGGGAAAATCGTCGTCTCTTTCTTAACAATCCAGCTTAGCGGATAGTTTCAATAGAGGTTAGATCGGTCTTGCACTTAGCCCAAAAAAATATTTCAAGGAACCCAACTGAAGGGCGATATCTTAAACGAACCTATGAAAATCCGCAGAATGTAGCCTTGATATAACGAACCTATACAACGCCGAAGTCATGGGTATAACGAACGACATCCTCGACCAGTATTAGTAAGATATATGGTGAATAACCGCGACACTGATAACGAAACTTCGTTATAACGAAACTTCGTTATAGTGAAAAATGCCAGTAGATCCCGCGACTCTTAGTTTTATCGAGGTTCCACTGTTAGCTACTGTTTGCGTTAGCTTGCGTTATCGTGAGGCACCAACGTAGTACTCATAGCTCGTTCCCCCGGGCAACTACATTACTGACATTTTCATAATATTCAAATTTTCACTAAGTCTCCTTTCAGTCAATTGTTAGCTTTCTTTACAGCCTTCTACTTAACGAGCTGTCAACGAGACTGCCTCGGGATGACATACGTTTTGTTCCAATTTTATTTAGCTATTGTTTCACTTCGCGTTTACATACGAGTGATCAAATAACTTCCATTTGGAGCTCAAAATGACAAGTACTATTAATTGACGTTTCGCGATTTCGATCAAAAATATTGCTCTAGTTTATGGCTTAGATCATGATCTATCGCCATAGACATTGGCTTTGAATAAGACAACGTTATTCCTCAGCCGAGTTTTTTTATTTTCGATTTCAAAAAGCACCTGATTCTGATCCGTACTGAAAGAGTCCAGCTGATATTTGCCCACAAACGCCTTAAACGCAGGGATAATCTCGGGCAAACAAATTGAAATTCTGTATCGTGCGACAAAAGACGCGATCATCAAGTTAATGGAAGGCTCCCAGATTTGATTTAGGTAAGGAAAAAAAACATTGTAAGGAAAATTATGCTCCTTTATACTCAACTCAGTAGACATAAATAATTCGTCGTGTTCCGTCCAAGTTAGGTAATGTAATATTATTCCCTTCACACTGTCAGCAGAATCACAGTATTTGTCATAGACACTAGACGATACGTTTATTTACAGTTGAAGAAAAATATTTTTCTGTATTAGGCACTGTTATAGTGCATCAACAAGGGCGCGAGTAGGGCTCATGAATTTTAAGAGCAAAATTTTCGTTATTTCCCCATATAAGACATTGTAAATTAGGTATAACGTGAGGAAACTGAGGGATTTCATTTCTTAATTAAGTTGAGGAAAATTTTTCTTTACTTGAACATGTCATGTCCGTCTAGCAATCGTATCTT